ACTCCCACAATTCCCCAGTCAGCAGGCTGGTTAGGGAATTCTGGGAGTTGAAGTCCACACATCTTAAAGTCGCTGAAGTTGAAAAACACTGGTCTAGATTCTACAGCACAAGAAAAGATACCTTCTGCTTTTAGATGTTGATGTTCCACGTGCTGCTGAACTGCAGCTTCTAACAGTACCAGTGCAGCCTGTGGGGGGGCATGCTGAGAATTGTAGTTTACCAACAACTGGAGAGCCATCTGATCCTTGGTTTAAGGGAAGGTATGGAATTTGTGCGGGTGGCTTGAACAACGCTCATGCTTGTGCATTCAGGTGCAGGTGATCCCATGGGTCTTGGCAGACAGCAATTTTGTGCGCAGCCCAACTCAGAGGCTTGACCCTGGCAAGACAGTCTTCGTGGGAGCCCTTCATGGGATGCTGAATGCAGAGGCCTTAGCAGGAATCCTCAACGACCTGTTTGGAGGGGTTGTGTATGCAGGTATTGACACAGACAAGCACAAGTATCCAATTGGTAAGTAAAGCCGGTCCTTGGCTATTTGTGTCTTCTGTGGTGGTGGTATCTGGGGCTTTGTGGATAATGCCTTGGAAGCAATGCCATTCCCCGTAGGAAGCCCAGGGAAGAAGAGGAGGCTTGAATATCTTGGTTCCACAGTTGGACTGTGGTAAGCACGGGTGGGAGAGAATAGCTGTCTAGTGATCATTTTATCTGAACGGAGGCTAGGTGAGTTTGCTTTCCTGGCACTCTTTGCCAATTCTTTGCAGTGGGGCAGAATTAAATATGGGTTCTCCTCCCCCAGTACATTTTGCACTGGACATCTTGAATGTCGTTTAACAGTTGCAGCCTGGTATTAAAAATGGACAAAATCTGTTTTCAGTTCAGGTTGACGGCATATTTTTACCTATAACATCTGTTGTATTGCTGAATTCATTTTCAGTTATTAAGAATATCAAAATGTATTTCAACATGACAAAAAACAACTGAGAAGTGTGAAATCTTATTAATATTCAAGTTCCAATCCATACCTATATGTATGTATGTATATATGTATGTATGTATGTTTCAAATTTAGATACCGCCCATCTCACAAAAAGTGACTCTGGGCGGTTCACAATAAAACTGCAATAAATATTAAAATACAATAAAACAATATAAAATACAGTAAAAATAGAATAAAAACCAGACACATACACAAATGATTAACCTGAGAGATGCAATCAGGACATTTCGTGTAGAAATAAGTAACAATTCAATTCCTGAAACAATCTTTTCTCATATTGTCATCTGTCTAATGGGGGTTTAGACAGACACTTCTCAGCAGAATCTTCTTCTCTCCCCTGAGTAGGGCAGACCTTGTAGAAAGTCATGTGCATGCTGACTCATAAGTCTTTGCTATCGATCCATGTTGGTGAGGCACTCAGCCTTATGGTACTAACAGGCTGGCTTATTTGCAGGATCTGGCCGTGTCACCTTTAACAACCAGCGCAGCTATCTGAAAGCAGTGAGTGCCGCGTTTGTGGAGATCAAAACAACGAAGTTTACAAAAAAGGTATCGAGCATCCAAGTCATAAGCTTTGTAGGGTGGAGACACCGAATCTTGTAGCGTGGCAAGTCCACCTGTAGAATCAGAGTAGAGGTTCTGGATGGAATAAAAAATACACGGAGACAGAGTGTACTAAAACTGGCGGGTTTTTCATTCTCCAAGTACCAAGGCTGACAAGGAGTCAGCAAAAAGAATACAAATGCTGAATTGTAGATTTTAGGGATTGAACATAAGAACTATCAAGTAAAATGCAGAGGTTAGTGAGTAGTGTTCCCAGATAACCCAGGATCCAGTCTGCTGAAAGGCTAGCTTTAAATGTGTTAAGTTACTGCTTTAAATGTGTTAAGTTACTTGAGCGAAGCAGTGAGGACAGGATGCACCAATTAGCAGCTTATTTTCCTTGCAGTTAATGAGATAAATCTGGTGAACTTCAAATTAGATTGAAGTGATGTTAAAACCCTCTGCTGTCCAATAATGGAATAATGACATGGAGAAAACCTTATTTTTTATTTTATTTATTTATTTATTAAATTTGTATGCCGCCCAACTCCCCCAGAGGGTGACTCTGGGCAGCTTGAATCTTGAAGTACTTTAAAAGCTGAAGCTAATCTCCACTTGTGAATGAAAACTTTGCTGTCTGACAATTATTGCTGAAACATTGTCGAATGGCATCCCACTTTTTGGTGCGGGGGGGGAGCTGTAATGTGAACCATAAAATAAAGGTTCAATGTAAAGGTGGGGGTAAACCCTCCTCCAAATCTAGGGGTGGGGGGAATGAAGAATCCCACCTATGTTCATGATATGGCGTTTCTGGTGCTGCAGTGTTATCCTTCCCCCCCTTCAAATGGCCCTTGGATTATTGCAAAAATTAAAGTTTGGCACCCAGCCATCAAAAGGTTTTAAAGCCATAGCTTATTGATGATGTTTTGGGTGTCTGGGTTATAACAACACTGCCAAAACTGTAGTTTCCAACCTTGGTGGTTGATTTTACAGAACACACCGTAAACCTGAATGAACCACACAGGGACTTAGTTGACCAGCTAAGTGAGACTCCAAAGCCCCGTGTTTTCTGAGTGAGGGTAGGCCATCAAAGACACCACCTTAAATATTTCTGGGTCCATGGAACCTTTATGCATCATGCAATTTTGATACCTGAATGTTGCAGAAGAATCAGAATAGTGTTTAAGGAGGCTGTATGTAGTTCGTCACTAGGTGTTTCGTAAGTGAAATACTAAATCTCTCTCCCTCCACCCCCACAATCAAAATAGATTGCTGTTTGGAGGGGGCATTAAAAAAAAGACATAAAAGAAAAAATATACCATGTTATGTACAAAACAAATTCCATTTGGCTGAATTTTTAAATCATTACTCCTGGACTACATGCAATAATCTTCTGTGAATGTTTCATCGGGAGGCCTGTGGGGGCCAGTTTTGTTTTTCCCCTTCTGGGAATCTGGCCGGCCATCTCCCAAAGCAGCAGTGAAGCATGTCTTATTCAGCTAAATTCACCAACTGCTTCTATTCCCTTTTGTCACAATGCTTGCATTAGATAGCTTGAACTTGATTTTCTCTGTGCAGGTTCAAATCGATCCATATCTAGAAGATGCCATGTGTCAGGTCTGCAGATCTCAGCCAGGCCCTTTCTTCTGTAGAGATCAGGTATTTGCTCTTATTTTCTTCCTTTGGTCTCAAAATCCAGGGAAGGATGCAGCTTTTTCTTTTCCTGTACTACTTCATATATTACTGGCAGAACTCTTTTGGGCTCCCTTGCGTCTCTCCTTAAAAATATCCTTGTAGTTAATTGTCTTGTGACTTTGATAAATGGATCCATCGCTCAGGTGGGAAGACCAGAATAATTTATACATAAATAAATTATAAATAAACTATTTATAATTCACATTTCTGAAGCTGCCCAGAATTGTCGAGAACTTGGGCAGTGTTAGAAATGTGAATTAGGAAGGCAAAGGGGCAACTTCATTGTGCCCTCAAGGGAAAGAAACTAAAAGGCACATCTCTGAAAACAGCTGGGGAACCATTTTTTCTTTTATAATTGGAGGACTGAATGGCCACTGGTAGAGAACAAACAAGACGCTCAGGATAAGCATTAACAGGCCGAAACTCGGAGTGAGATGGGCAACTGTCGTGACTGTTTTTCTGGGTAGAGAAAAACTAGCTGTATTGATGCCCCAGGAGTACAGAGCTATGGTATCTGTCAGATTCAAGGCAGAAGTGAATAACTGCAGCAGAGGAGGCCCTCCTTAGTTGTAAGGGTGTATTAGGGACTGACACGTATCTACTTACAGCATAAAAGGCAGGACAAGCCGTTTCCCATCCTAGCACGTGGCGACTATTCAGTTCTATACAGGGTTTTTACATAGTGGCGTAAATATAGGTAAAGCAGCTGCCCCCTTGATCATCCCCTTGCCTTCCCCTCCCCATGCATTTAAGAAACCTGATCAAGTGGGATAAGAGCTGCCAAATCTGGTCAGCAAAAACCTAAACAACCCCTAGACAGCCAGCAAAGTCTCTTGTTTCTTGCCATGTCAAGGAAGATTTGGAGTTTTGCAGCCCCAAACATGATAGTTCCAAGAGGAGTCGAAGCGGAAGAGCCCCATAGAAGGGAGGGAAGAGCCCCATAGAAGGGAGGGAAGACCCATCACTACTGGCATTCCGAAGTCAACCATTGCTAGCCAAATGGCAGGTCTGGTGGTCATGCAGGAGAGGGAAAGGATGACTTGGATGACAGAAGAGGTGTGGGGAGACCTTTGTGGGGCTGAAGCCCACTGTGGTGGTGATAAGGAAGAGTGTGATGGAATGGAATTATGAAGGCCAGGGTCAGGGAGAAAAACATTTTCTTACATCTCCTGAGGAGCGTGGGAGATACAAGAGGATGAGAGGCACCTCCCTGAGGAATTCACAATGTTGTGGCTGGCATTACTTGGGAGCTGTCAGGCCTAGCCCAAGGAACTCCAAGAGACCAT